CCCCCCCCCCCCCCCAGGCCTGCGGGGTCTCAAATCCCCAAGAAAAAAAAATAGGCATTTACTCATGTCGTAATCCCAGGGGTGGGGTATTTTAAATTTAATTACTGTCCAGGAGCCTGACACCTATAAACAAAATGACACACGAAATAAGTTGTAGAAAACTTTGAGTACTTGGTATTTTGTGGATAAGCCCAGGGGTGGCCCAATTGCCTTCTTTTTTGCTCTCTTGCAGGGGTATCAATATCTCTAACAAACGCACTGGAAAATTTGCAATTTTTGAGGGGAAGAAAGAAAACAAAAAACTACCAGAAACTGGGAGTTGACCAGAGGGGGAGGGGAGGGATGAGCATTACTGGAATTGACTGAATGCATAATAAACGTCTAATCAAACAAGACCTACTTGTATGTTGAAGTTTGAAGGAGATTCTACCATTGTAGCATTTGCAGTAATGAAGAAATCACACGAGATAACAAGTCACGTGACTTCGAGCTTAGTCTTGACAGCTAATTTTTTGAGGAGTCCTTACGGCACTGCTTACCTTAGGATATAAGAAATATGTAACCAATTTTAATCATTGCAAGAGGTTAGATAAGACAGACGGATCTTTCAACCTTAGTTTGTGATGGATGCAGACCTGACTGTTTTCTTTGTAGTTCATAGATAGAGTATTCCAACAAAATGTTTGTGGCAATTTCTTGCATTTTTGTATATACATGGATATATAATTTGTACTTCTATTTTGTACACTTACATTATCCCCATGAATCAATGAATGATGATGCCTATAAAGTTTCCCCAGTTATACCATTCTATCTACCAGGGTTTTGCATTTCACTGTAATGTAAAAAGATCAATCTCAGGTTCCCCCATTTAGTGATTAGCCTTTCATAGTTATGTTTTCCAGGTACATTTGTGGCATGCAAAGTGAAGCATCGTTTCTCTTGCAATCTCATATACCTATACCCATATTTCTGAGATTCGAAACTGTCATTTGGTTGTCAGATAGCATTCTTATCACAAAGAGTATAGACAAAAAAGGACTGCTTTGATTTTAAAGTATTTTACATGGCACATTACTCTGACATGCGGTGGGGCTATCTACCATAATCCAAAATGGTTGCAACAATGGAAGAAATTTGCAATAACACTTCCATCCCTTACAAACGAAAACATTTTATTTCTATTTTATGACTATTTTAATGCTATCACATCTATTTTTGTCCTATTTTGTTCGTTGCAAATTTCTATTTTACTCCTAGTTTAGCAGATGAAGAAAATAGGGCTTCGATTTTATTTGTGTTTTACCTTTATTTTAAACCTATTTTTAAGCAAGATAGAACAAAGTAAGGTATTTTATTTCTATTTTCTCATAACATCCTGAAAAATAGCCCGCAACTTAGGCTATTTTAATTCTATGTTACATTCTTAGATCGGTATTTCTCTATAAAATAATGATTTTTACCTATATTTTCCTTTTGGGTAGCAAACTTGATGGCCTGCTCCTTTGCAAAATAGACATAAAATAGGCTATGAAAATCCTATTTTATCTGAGTCAACTTTGACTATATGACAAAATAGCTTTAGAATACACTGTTTTATTCCTGTTTGTGGACGTTGGTTTAACCACTGTCTCTTTCATTGCCAAAATATGCAAAAATTAGTCTATTTTAATCCTATTTTATTCCAGGCACCCAAACAGTATTTTAGGAATGGCTAAGTACATGTATATTTGTGATAAAATATTATATTTTATTCTGTCTCATACGTCAATTCAAGATTCGCTAAATTGTTACATTGTAAATTGTGGTTTTCAGGCTTCAAAAACTTCAACAATTAATCTACAAATTATTCCATCAGTTTAAATGTTCAAACAACAGTAGAGGCTTAATGATGTAAGTTTGACTTATGGAAATCTGGCATGTGAGAAGCTTGAATCAACTGTTTATGTTGACATTCGGTATTCCTTTAGAAACATACATTACAAAACGGTTAGTTTACTTTTAGGAATACAGAAGGTTGAAAGAGAGAGATGACAACCGCATGCCACGTAAAGTAAGACTTCTTTTCACGAACAGTACCATGCATTTCATGCTTCTCACAAGTAGATAGTTTTAACTCTGTGAGAGTAAAATTACTTGGGATAATTGTAATCTTCTGCAAATGATGTCTGAACACTTTCCAGCCTGTATCAGGCATCTAAATTCAGCAAAAAGCCGAGTTAATTTCTTCTGTGGAATGCATGAGCCGCCATCTTGGATTTGAATGTTGATAAGACCCTGGGAACTAGTGCTATAACCCATGATGCAATGCTTTGAGAAAGACGCGCGTTTCAACAGTCAAAGAACGATTGAAAGTTTGAAGATGTTTGAAAGCCACAAAATCTGGATCTTTTGGCTCTACAAGAAATTGTAAGTATAAAGAATCACAAGGCTTCTGGATTAAGACTAAAGATGGTGTTTTTGATGTCAGTACTCCACTGATATTTATCACTAAACTCGATCTTGCAGGCCACATGCTGCAGAGTTTTGGATCTTTGCATGATCATTGTCTCTCTTGGGTCTTTCTTCCTGTCCATTTCAGCTTTCCTGTATTACAGTCATTACTTAAACCAAAAACAATTTAAAACTTGTCATAGAGGTTGATCTAAAATCGTGTTTCTGTTATGAGCAGTTGCCTTCAGAGGTCAAACAGAACACCTTATGATCTGATTTTAATCACATGTTGTGTGCTTCTGTTCTAGTTATTGAAGCAGAAAAGCTTGAAGTATAGATTCGCCAACAGAACTACATGGTTAAAAAGCTAAGTGAAAAAAAATTCACAAACACGAGTGATGACACCTTCATTATATATATTTCCACCATAATCTGTTGGACCTCATAGGAAATGCACTGCAGTCTTGACGTGAGTGCGAAGCTTGCAACTTTGAATTTTGAACAAAGATATCAGTATAAGCTTAAATCTTCATGGCACATAAAGAAATCCCTCAATTTTAGCAAATAAAATAAATTATGAACAGAAACAAGATGTTCCAACTAGTCTTTGATCTGGTGTGGGCCTCCTCCCTTGGATACTGGACAAAAATCTTAGTGATAGTTTTTACAAGTGTAAATATGGAAGGTTTCAAATGTTGACGAGTCATTGTATTTTGGTGCTAGCTATTACTTTATTTAGATTGCCATTTACTTCTTAATTTAGTGTCACTGTTTTTTATAATTCTGGGCCTTTGACCTGGCTTTATTGCATTACAGATAACATTGCTATTTTTGCACATGCCACAATTTGCAATTTCTTAAATCTCATTGTTCAATGGCTAAATGGTCTCGTGCTATTTTTTTAACCCTGTTAGAAGGCTATTTTAAAGCTATTTTAACCCTGTTTTATGTCTAGTTTAAAGCCATTTTCAGCCTGTTTTCCGAGGTATTTTCCTCTAATCCCAATTTTATCTCTGTTTTGCTACTATTTTAAAACTATTCTAGCCCTGTTTTATGTCTATTTTAAAGCTATTTTAACCCTGTTAAAAAGGCTGTTTTAAAGCTATTTTAAGCCTGTTTTATGTCTATTTTAAGCTATTTTCAGTCTGTTTTCCAAGGTATTTTCCTCATCATCCCAATTTTATCCCTGCTTTATTACTATTTTAAGGCTATTTTCAGCATATTTTATTTTTAACTTGTTTCATTCATACTATTTTAATACTATTTTCCCCTCAACTTGCATTGACATTATTCACTACTGTAAGGCTATTTTAAAGCTAATTTACTGAAGTTTGGTCAGCACTCCGGACTATTTTCTGCTATTTTTTTTTTCAAAATAATGGGTTTAAAATACATAAAAAGATGCTATAAAATAGTCTAGGGAAAAAAAAATACAAAAATAATAGGGATAAAATAACATATAAATAGGCATTATTTTCGTAAGGGATGGCCTTTTAGGGGGCTAACATAATTAAATTAAGGGTTAATATTTTTTTTTACCTAGCCATAACTGGGCTTGGAAGATTATCCTTGCCACTGAGGGACCATTCATCATTTCTGCCTGGGGGAAGGGGGAGGGGGGAGGCTGGCAAGATTAATTACAAACAATAAGAAAACGTTTAGACCACCCTCCCAACAAAACAGATATATTATTGTGACCCCTATAGCACACTATGCTGTAAATTTCTTTCTGTTCATTGTTCATCTCTTTCATTGCATTCTTCATTATCATCCACCACTTCTTTTCTTTCTTCGTCTTCACCTTCTTCATAATTATCCCCTTCTTTTTTACTATGTCCTTCCCATTCAGAGCAGTTTCCCTCTGATTCGGTGAGTTTTGCAAGTACACACTTCCTTGCATCTGAATGCCAATTTCCCTTTTCAATCAGAGACCTGCTAATTAATCCAGCTTTGTGCCTGTCTGCTCTCAATTTTTCTAGTTCATTTAACTGAAGCATTTGTTTTGTAATACACTTAGGGGCGATGTACCTTTTATGGGTTGAAATCTGTGGTTTGGTAAGGTGAAATCGGATTGTGTTATCACAAACTCTGAAATGCTCAGTTTCAGTACATTTAGGCCTATAAGCCAGAAAAAAAAAAAAAAAGAAAGAAAGAAAAGAAAAAAACAATGACTAGGGAGTTTAATTGAATTGGTACATGTACCTCTTGGGGTAAAAACGAATTTGAGCCAAGCCCACAAAGGGAGATTGATATTAGTTTCCGGTTCCTTTTAGGGATTTCTTTCAAATTTCCCATGACGAACGCTGTCAATTTCATACATATGAAATCAAAACGACACTGGGAAATCTTATTGCTAACAAGTCTTCATTAACTACAACTTATAGTAATTGGAATGTGTCAAAATCACATCATGATGGAATGGCACAATATCTGGCGAGCTATAAAACAATCCGATAAATTCATTTTGTATCAGAGTGGCCGCTGGGCTAAATAACAAGGCAAATTTGGTTTGTGACACAATATGGCCGCCGAGCTAATTTGCTAAACAACTCGGTACATTTATTTTGTGACAACAAGCCAGGGTCATATTGCTCAATGTTTGCTGAGAACACAGACTGCTCAGTTCCTGTTTTCTTTTGACTAAGCAAAACAGAATCGCAGGCGAGAAGACTATTGACAACAAAACGCTGATTTAATTTGCCTTTTTATATATACATCAATAGATGCACACACCTCCCGAAGACTTAAAAAAATATTATGACTTACTTGAAAGGTAAGTTAGAAAAATTTCACTTGCCAAGAGTACTGAAAGAGTAACTAGAACTTTGGAAATACACAAAAATCCCGCAATCGATGGTGTGACAGATATATTTTCACGTGAAGGGAGGTCGGTATTTTGAAAGCCCAGCTTGCATAAGCAAAACAACTCTTACATCGCCGAGGAAACTTGCTCAGCAACACCTGAATAAAATAACAAAGAATAAGAATGCATCTAGTAAGCTTTTCACGAGTACAGTGAAGTTAATATTCGATGAAAGAAAGAAAACTAATAACAAAGCAGCACGACAGAGCAACTGAAAAATGGAAAATAACTTACCTTGAAAACTGCAATCAAATCCCGACAAAAAGCTGAGGAAAGAATCGAAGAGAAGTTTTCTGAAGTTCCAGTCTACCTCTCAAACTACTCATGCTCCCAAAGCTTTCTCACCGGGCAACCCTAAAATCCGGAATCCGGAATCCACAAATCGAAGAAACCAAGTTCTTCAAATACGCTAAAATTATTTTGCACAGCTTTTGCCTGTAAAAAAGATAGGAGGCGAAGTAAAAAAGACCTCAAACTTTTTTGAAACAAAAATTTCCCGTCTGCTGAAATTCGTGCAACCGTTATTTCTAGTGAGGGCTATGATTATGAGAATCCAAGCAACGTACGTCGCAATGATTCCAAGCACCCTGAGAGCGTCTAAAATAGGCTTCCTGGTAATTGCCATTTTTTTTTTTTTTAATAAGTGATCTGCAATTTACTGCAGGTATAAATTTAGCCTTTATGTCTAGTAGATACTGAACAAGGTAGAAAATGTCATAGAAATCAGGGTCTCCGTCAGTGGCAGCCCCCTGTACATTGACAGTCACGCCCCCCACTTTCGATGCCCAAAGGCTAACCTGGCTCGTCTAAATAAATTTGTTTTTCCCAGCAGATACATGACTAATTTCAGATCAACACCATTTCCACACTGATACTGTTACAAATCACCACTACATATTCTTGCCGGCCATCGTGTCAAAACTCGTTATAGAAATGTTGCACACTTACTTCCGTCTGGTTCTCGCTTGCGAACGGATCGGAACAGGTGTTGTTAAAACATGCTAAGAGACTGCCAGAAACTCACCGCAATAGCTTGTTGCTATTGTGTTACTCTCTAGTCTTCTCAGAGCAATTTGATCTAGA